TGTTTTATAAGTAGTAGGAAATGGTAGCACAAGTGCCAGCGGTATGAAACAATGCTGTTGTGTGATGAGAATTATTGCCTATTTTGCTTGCTGCCTTTGCCATTCAGTAAAGACAATAAACTTCTTTCTCTTCAGAGGGGTTAGCGAGTTTTATACTTAATGATTTTGATCCTTCTTAGTTCAGCAGAACTTTCACTTCTCTTTTGGCCCTGCAATGACAGGATAAGAGCTTTTACTAATGCTACATTGCAGAAGTTTTCATTTAAGTATGGCAGACAAGATACTTACTAAGATTGACAGCGCAACACAAATAGCTTCTGCAAAGTGCTCTTTAAACTTTTTAATGAGTTAATTCTGGTTTTATGCTACAATGAATCAGCGCTTCGACACTGATTTGCTGTATTAGGGTGCCGTGTCCTGTACTTTGCTCCCTGGTATGAGAAGGATACAGACTCACTAGAGCAAGTCCAGCAAAGGGCCAGGAAGATGACTGAGGAACTGGAGCATCTTTCATATGAGGAGAGGCTGGAACTGTTTGGCCCGGAAAAAAGGCAGCTTGCAGGGATCTTATTGATGTGTATAAATACCTGATGGGGGGAGTGAAGAAAAAAGAGCCAGACTCTTCTCAGTGCCCAGTGACGGGCAAGGCAATGGACACAAAATAAAACACATGTGAAATTCCATCTGAACGCAAGAAAACACTTTTTTTTTTTTTGCTATGAGGGTGGTCAAACACTAGAACAAGTTGCCCAAATGGGTTGTAGAGCCTTCAGAATTCCTGGAGATTTCACTGGACGCAGTCGTGGGCAAGTAGAGCCTTCAGAATTCCTGGAGATTTCACTCCAGGACGCAGTCGTGGGCAGCTGTCTCTAGTTGGCCCTGCTTGAGCAGGGAGGTTAAACGAGATGAACCCAGGAGGTCCCTTCTGATCTAAATAGTTCTGTGACAGTGCACTTACAAGGGGGAAGGATATGAATGAATACGTCATAATATAAAGGCGTAATGTGTGATGTACAAGTCATGCTTGAAATGCGTCGAAGTACTGCCGGTTCAAATCGGGTAACGCTGCTCAAGCACGTCGTCCTCTCGATATAGCGTGTGCGTTGTTCTAACAATGTGGTTATGTACACGGAGAAACCTTAAAATATCTCCGTAAATGTCAAGCAAAAGGATAGGATAGTGTTAGAGTACAGTTATATTCCTTTTTAATGTGAAAACTGGTATCTATGGTGCTAAACAGTAGTACAGTTTCCTTAGCTGCAACGATTGGCATTGTAATATGTAGTTGCTATGAAGACTGTTTTAAGGCAAGATTCTTCATAACTTGACTCCTATTCTGGGTTATTTCAGCAGTAGCTAGTAATAAAATGTGTCTATAAATTGTGAAGTCCCAATTTCGAGTCAATCAAGGAGGCTTTGTAAGCAGGTTTATTGGAATTTATGGTTACTGCATGTATATGAAAGATAAATGATTTCCTGAACCTACTTTTGCAAGATTGAGTGTTTGTAATTATTTCAGAAAACGGAGTGCCTTTGTGTCTTCTGCTGTTCTGCATCCTTCCTCAGGAGCTTGAGCTACTCTGTTATTTGTGAGGACAACTAAAGCTGACCCAGTCATTTTCTGCATTTATTGCTGAGGAGAGCAAGGCATAATAGCTAAAACACAGGCAAATCTTCCACTCAGAAAGTCTTGTCTTTTCTGAAACAGGGAGGCTTGACCCAACTTCAGAATTTTTTCTTTGGGAATTCAAAAAATTGCTTCTAATGCTTGGTTTCTCTAAACCCCTGAGATATGGAAGCAAGCTGTCACTTCTGTTTGAATGATACTACTTTATTTTTCAAACTAAAGGCTTCCTCTTGGAGGGGGATAAGAAGTCAGTTTCTGAACTGTTTTGCTTTTTTTTTTTTAAAAAAAAGACCAATAATCCCCAATAAAAAAACCCCAAAACCTGCAACAAAAACGCCCACCCAAACCATCCAATGTTCTGAGGAATGGTGATGCCTGTAGAGAAGTTCCCTGTTGCTGGCATGTACTTTTTCATTAAATATTAATGTTTAGTATAAGGTCTGAAATGCAGCAAACTGCTTCAGTTGTCAGGATTTTTGTTCTGGGCCAGATTTAGGGCTTGAGGGAAAAGATGTGGGAGGTTGCGTGAATGGACATCAGTAACTAAGGAATTCAAACTGTTGGCATTGAACAGTTAGCGTTCTACTTCTGATAAGTTTCATTTTTTCAGCAGATTTTCTGATTTCTATTACAATTAGAAATTTTTAAAAAAATCTCTCCAGGGTCTTCAGGCTGCCTTTAAATAAAAGCTCCTTGCAGCTTCAAGGACCTGCACAGTTTGAAAAAATTCTGATAAAGGTGATCAGACCGTATGTTGATTTGTCTCTTGTGTGTGTGCCAGAAGAGTTAATTAGGTGAAAATTAACGATGAAAGCACTTCCTACAGAAAGGTGTTAAGTTAAACTTGCAGGATGTCCACTCAAGGAAAAATTGTGTATGTTAACCAACTTGAAGCTACTTCTTGCTGCTTGTTTGTTTTAGTGCAAGGTCCTGAAAGGAGGGTTTGTGCTTTGTGGAAGGGTTTATTCTTTTTTAATTAAGTTTTAATTAGGGTTTTGGGGGTAACAGAGTCGGAGAAGAGGCATGATTGTAACCACTAAAAAATATAAAATTACACTTTAATATAAATTAGTTACTGTGAGAACTTTGAATTTAAATTGCTTACTTTTCATGTTTAAGACAGCAAGAGACTGTGCAGTAGTTATGAAAACATTGGCTTTCTTGCTTGTGATGTTCCATTGTGGCCTGAGAATGTTAAAGGCTTGTCCTTCAGTCACTTACCTGACAGCTAGAGTCAGTAGGGGTGGTGCTTATCTAGCAAGTTCTTAAGCATTCGGTCTGAGTTGATGGAGTGTAAAGAGTTTAAGTGTCAAACATCTGTTTTCTGAGCTGTAAAACTGTTGTGGATTGTAGGAGGAGATGAAGAACTGCTGTGTTACTCCTGCAGGCACCGAGTGGGATTTCAGTTACTTGACTACACACAGCCCAGTAACTCAGGATCCAGTCTGCTTGTCAGGTAGCATCTACAAGAGCTCAGCCTGTATAATGATTATGTTAGGTCTTGTCATCAGATGTGAAAAGATAAGCAGCGGTTAAAGGAGTGAAGCTATTTCGATCTGCCTGGCCCCACCCCCTGCTTCCTATAGCTAGGAGCTTGTAGTATGGGTACCTCCATCATTATTTGAAAGGCAGTGAGTACCTTGTCCTTAGATGGAAACATAATGGTCAAATAATGCTTTTACTTATTTTTGTGGAAAGTTACTTGCTTCATGTTCAGTATGTTCAGGCAACAGTGACCACACTGGTCAAAGTCTAAAACTGCAGGGCTTTGAAAATTGCGTTTATATGCATTTTAATCCAGAGGGACCATGACAGGCTGGAGAGGTGGGCCTGTGAGAACCTCATGAAGTTCAACAAAGCCAAGTGTGCAAGGTCCTGCACATTGATCAGGACCATCCCAAGCACAAGCACAGGCTGGGTAGAGACTGGATTGAGACCAGAGAAGGATTTGGGAGTGCTGGTGGATAAGAAGCTCAACACGAGCCGGCAATGTGCGCTGGCAGCACAGAAAGCCAACCGTATCCTGGGCTGCATCAAAAGGAGCGTGGCCAGCAGGTCGAGGGAGGTAATTCTGCCCCTCTGCTCTGCTCTCATGAGACCCCACCTGGAATACTGCATTCAGCTCTGGAGTCCCCAACACAAGAAGGACATGGAGCTGCTGGAGTGATTCCAGAGGAGGGCCACGAAGATGATCCGAGGGCTGGAGCACCTCTGCTATGAAGACAGGCTGAGAGAGTTGGGATTGTTGGAGAGAATGCCCCAGGGAAACCTCCTAGCAGCCTTCCAGTACCTGAAGGGATGGATCTACAAGAAAGCTGGAGAGGGACTTTTTACAAGGGCGTGTAGTGATAGTAAGGGCAATGGATTGAAATTGAAAGAGGGCAAATTTAGATTAGATATAAGGAAGAAATTTTTTACATTGAGGGTGGTGAGGCAGTGGAACAGGTTTCCCAGATAAGTTGTGGATGCCCCATCCCTGGAAGTGTTCAAGGCCAGGTTGGATGAAGCTTTGGGCAACCTGGTGTAGTGGAGGGTGTTCCTGCCCATGGCAGGGGGGTTGGAACTGGATGATCTTTGAGGTCCCTTCAACCCGAACTGTTCCATGATTCTCATAAGGACTTAAAAGGCTTTTTTAATGTTTTAAATGATGTGTACCAGTTATGAAGTAAAATGGGAGGGTAGTGGGTCTTGACAGCAGCTTTTAAATTTAAAATGGTACTTGATACTCATGACTAGGGTCTTGAATTTTAAGTACTGCCTCAAATTTGTAGAGGAGCCAAAGTGACTTTAGGAATTGTACTCAATCACTAAAACCTTAAGGCTTGTGGGAAAATGCTAACCACTGAACTTGAACTGTTTCTGATGTGAATTTTGCTTTTTAAAAGGAGTAGTTTAGAATTCCAGGAGTGTCTTTTACTAGTTGTGCACTGATCAGTAATTACCAAAGTTCTGAAGTGCTTCGAAATTGTTCTTGTTTTCATGCTGCCTGTATTCATGACTGTTTTCATACTGGGGTTGCTGCCTTCTAGGGGCTTTGATTTCAGCCAGTTTAATCCATCAGTTTCAGAGTGGTTATGTGGAAACTGATTTTACAATATTGAGCTTGCAGTTACTGCCTTTTACGTATGGTGTTTCTGTAGTTCACTATAGGTTGTTTTCACGTTTTCTTCTTCTCTTTTCATGCATTAGTGGTAAAAATCCTTGCTATTTTCTTCACTATTTTCGTGTATCTTAAAGGTTTCTTTTGTTAATGCTCTATCTAGTAAACACTTGTGTTTTGTGAACTAAAGAAAACTCTGCACTCTCCTCCTGCAGGTTGAAAATGCAGATGCACATCTGAGTTGCTTATGCATTATTTTTACTTTTTAGCTGTTCACTGATGGGATCACCAATAAACTAATTGGCTGCTACGTGGGTGACATAACAGACGACGTCGTTCTAGTCAGAATCTATGGAAATAAGACCGAGCTCTTAGTAGATCGAGATGAGGAAGTGAAGAGTTTCCGTGTGTTGCAGGCTCATGGCTGTGCGCCTCAGCTATACTGTACTTTCAATAATGGCCTGTGCTACGAGTTCATGCAGGGAGAAGCACTGGATCCAGAGCATGTATGCAATCCAGATATTTTCAGGTAAGCTCTTTATTTTAATTCTTATTATTTCATTATTCAAGTTCTGTGATGCATTTATGGTGTTCTTTCAGGACCAAAGGATCTCAAATTTAGTATATGAGCAGGCAGAGAAATAAATATTTCTATAAGCCTGCACTAAGTTGATGTTCACGCTCTTGGACAGCTCACTGTCCTCTGTCTTGGTTATCATGGCATTTCAGTGCTGAACAAATGATCCATGCTGCCTCCCCAGAAGGCCTGTTAGAGGACTGCTTATTGTATTTAGCACTGGCACGTTACCATTCGGGAGATCGTTTAACGTGGTGGAGCTGTAAGGGGCTGGACTTGATTAAAGCAAATACTCCTAGCTCTGTTTCCAATACATTCCTTTTGTGAATAGGTTCAAGATAGTGTTCCATTGAGACATAATTTTTAAAACTATTAGGAGTGCATAGAAACTGCTGATGTCTTAGATTTTAGCTTTTCATGTGCGCACTGAAATACATTTGCCTAACAATGGCAGCTAATTTGAGTCAACTCTTGTAAAGATAAGCAAGTTGCATGCTTCACCTGCATGTAAGGTCCTCATGCCACAACTCAACTCAAATCCCCCCTGCCTCCACTCCCTCAAGTAGTGCTGCTAATGACCTTTTGACTCTTGAAAGATGCTGCTCTGTAGCTGTGCTGTTCTTGTTTAAACTCTATTTGCATTCCCTTGCTGCATTTTTTACGTTTTGTTCTTGTTAAATGTATTGTAGTTGTTTTCTCTTCTTGCTAGGAAAAATGTGATAAAGACTGTCAGATATACATTAAGTGTAACATTACGCTTTATTTTTTTTTTAGACTCATTGCCAGACAGCTTGCTAAAATCCATACTATTCATGCACACAATGGATGGATCCCTAAATCTAATCTGTGGCTGAAGATGGGAAAATACTTCTCTCTCATACCCACAGAATTTGCAGATGAAGAAGTAAATAAAAGGTAGGTATTACATTATGTGCTTTCCCAACTTCCCATTCTTTCTGGTTGAGGGCAGAAAAATACTTAAAAAACTAGATTTTGCATTACCATATAATGTTAAATTTGTAAAACTTGGAGTTTTGTCATACTCTTGTACACTGAAGTAGCTGTATAATGTAAAATATGATAAGGAGAGTCTTTTTAAAGAACAAAGGTCAAATCACGTACTTAAGGTAGTTGTCTCAACAGTTTTTGACAACCATTAGTCTTAAACCTGAGACCTGTGTTCTGAGGCGAATACTAAAAGCATGTTTCCTGGGGTTGCAGGAATACTGTTTATTCATTATAACCCACAACTCTTAGCTGTCTTGTATTTTTTCAGTTCGTAAATTTGTCCAAAATGGGGTGAAGTAAAAATAAAGTTAATGAAAGGCTGTTTTGGGATGAGCTCCCAAAATCTTTTCCAGAAGAGGAAAAGGTATCCACACAGTCATTCTGGACCTGTGCTATCATGGAGTATGAATAATGGTGTCACCTGGATTTAAGGGTTTAATTACATTTTGGGTTTAGCATCCTAATAAAGCTCTTGAGTTGTAAATCAAACTGGTGGATTTTTTTGTTTGGTTGGTGTTGTGTGTGTTTTGTTTTTTTTGGGGGGGGTGGGGGTGGTTGGTCGGAGCTTAACAAAATAAGAAAATATTTCCAAAAGATTGTAGCGTCAGTCACTGAAAGATTGGGATGAGAGGAACAGCAAAACTAGGAGCAATGTTTAACCTAAATAAAGTTTCTGTGCTGTAATCTAAAGCTTTAGTTGAAGGCCATGTTTCTTGAGGAGCAGAGATCATACTTTTTAGCGAACACTGTGATTTGGAAGTGTTTATACAGTATCATCATATCACTCAGAAAGCAGATTTCAGCTTAAAAACATTCTTCATGGAACTTCTTTGAAATCAGATGACAACTGCCCTTCTTACTACAGCATACTTAAAGAATGCTCTAATGAAGTTGTTCTGAATTTTTTTCTTTTACAACATAAAATTCGTAAGAAAGCCGAGGTGACTTGAGTAATTAATTGAAAATCTAGAAGATAAAATGACCACTTAAGCATTTTTACTGGACTAGAACCGAAAAGGAGTGTTCATTTCCTTTGTATAGATAAATATAGTACTTAGTACTTACTGTTGTGTATTCTTCTTGAGAGAAGTAATGTAATGTGAGCAAAAAGTGAATGAAATTAATGCTATATAACCCTTTTGATCTTTACTCCTTCAAAAATGTGAAGGATTGTATTCAAGTTCTACTCCTGATTTTTGCACTACTGTCACGTTTACAGCACAGATTATCTTCTGAGAATTGTTTTTTGAGGAGAACAGCAGGAAATAATTGTCATAATTTGAGTGTCATTGAGCTGGGGGAGAGAGTACCTTGGTATGGAGGAAGGTCTAATGAATTATTTGCAATAAAAATGTAGAGGAAAACAAGTTATGTCTTTACAAACAGTTGGTGTGGAACACATAGTACTAAATATTAACTCAAAGTTCTTACACCTGAAAAGGTTTTTAAGTGACATTCCAAGTCCTCAAGTTCTTCAAGAAGAGATGGCCTGGATGAAGGAAAGACTGTCAAATTTAGGATCACCAGTGGTACTCTGTCACAATGACCTGTTGTGTAAGAATATCATTTACAACAAGAAACGAGGTAGGTGTTGAACTAAACAGTAAGTAATGAGTGGCTTTGTTTTGTGCTGTTTATTGCGTTTGCTACAGCATTGGTGTCATTTTGCTGACTTGTTCAAGTGAACTCAGTTTGAGCTTTTAAGAGCCAGTGTAATAGTAGTGATATCTGTGCAAATACCAAGTTGCTTAATTGGCTAACTCTCATCTCCATGTTACTGTACAGAGGAGGAATATTGGTGTTCCGTGCTTTTCTTTAATGAATTAATGAATTTGTTAATCCTTTGCCTGCTTGTATGACTAGACTTCCAAGTATGTAATTGTTCATGTTAATTCTGTTCCAGTTGTATAAAGATTTTAGGAAGAAAAAAAAATCATACAAGCATAGACAGTAACTTGAAGACATTATCTCCTATAATATGTGTAGTGTTCTGGTTTCGATTGTGGGAAGACACTTTTCATAATGAAGTATCTTAGTGATACTTAGTACTACATTCAGTGACTCAATTTTTCTGCATGAGGTACAAAAGCATCTTATATATTTACAAAAGAAATCTTTATTTGAACTGTTGTAGGAAGTACACATCTTGGCAAAGTTTAATTTTCTGTTTTTATTACATGTAAAACTCATAATTCATGCTATTAAATAATGCCTTTATTAAAATCTGTAAACCTTCTGTATAAACCAGCAGTTTCTTTTATTTCTTTATTTTAGTGGTTTGAGGTTCGGTTACTAAATGAATCAATTAAACAGGATAATTAAACCAATGGCAAACTTGAAACACTAAAATGGCCATTGTGCAGTAAAAATGTACAGCTTTTCTCTCATTTCAAGTATCTGAGCTCAACTGAGTGCAACAAATTCATCAGATCAAGATTTTCTTTTGAAGTGAGGATGATTTATTCCTTCTGGTAGTTTCATATTTGTTTGTGGCAGTTTGATGCTAAGGTTGTTTGTATGTAAGCCAAAAACGTGTGAAGTGAACGACTGAATGGAACTGAACCCTTCTCCATCAGTCATCATTGGTCTTTGACCTCTTAAGCTTATGTGCCTTGAGTTCCAAATAAAAACCATGCTGGAGTTGGTTCTAGTATGAAAATTGGTTGTGTACTACTGTAACCAATTTCTGCATCAGGCATGCACTGAATGCATGTGAATTGAGAAAATAGTCTTTTGGTGGTTTATATGCAAGTTTCCCTCTGAGTAATTCCACTTTTGAAGGGAATTGCTAGAACTTCTAGTTATATAGGTGTATGCATGTATATTTATATGTATACATATCTGTACAATGTTATTAAGTTTTAAATTCTAAGCATTTGGTACCAAACTTCAGTGGTTTAGCTTAATTTCACTGATGGGTTATAGTTCTGCTTAAACAGAGGTGGGGGGAAGGAAGCATGGAAGGTAGGCAAAAAATCGGCTTGTGGTCTTACACACACTGGAGTTGTGATAATTGTATTACCAAAACTAAATCTATTTTTACTGTGTGGGTTTTTTCAGTGCTGAAATTACCTTGAGTTTTAGCATTCCAGAACAGACCTGTTGAGGTGTAAGTAATTTTTATAGTTGCTTTTCATAATAGAACCATGCTGGGAAAAAAAAAAATAAAAAAAATCAGAGGGATTCCTTTAAAAGGTTCACTATCATGGTCAATAGGCTTGAAATTCCTACTTTTAAAACAAATGCTATATGCTTTTCTTTTTGTAAACAGAGTGGAGGAAAAAACAATGCCAGCAGTGCATCACTTATGAGCAATCCTACAATAACGAGTGTGTGAGTGCTTAGTGTTTGGGGACAGGGTGGGGAGGAGGGAGGTGTGTGAAGTACTTTGGCTTCAAGCTAGCTGTGAACAGCTGGCGGGGAAAAAGACTTGGAAATATGAAATTAATATGTTAAACTTACGTTTGAATGTTGCACGTGTACTGTGCTGTAAGACTTCTGCAATCTGGGTACAGCAGGTACCATTTTCATAGTAACCAAACCTCAATGCCATCTGCAGAAAGAATATTTGTCATTTGAAAGCTGTTTCTTATACTGTGCTTTTTACAGAGAAAAAAAAATGTCTGTTAGTACAATCTAAAGATGAGCAATGTGGTTTTAGAAGTGGAAATTCAGCTTTAACTGTAAATAAATATGTATTGCTGGAATTCTGTTTATCTGAGGAAAAGCCTTTATTGGTATACAGACAATTTTGCAAGCACACAAGATAGAATCTTGAGGTATGCCCTTCACTAGGCGTGGCAGCAGACTGCATGGAGGTAGGTAGGAGTTTGGGAAGTGCTGTACGCTTACTAAATTTGCTCTTCCATCTAGAAAGGCTCCTGTGTATCATAAAGACCTTGGTGACCCTAAACTGGAATTAAGAGAATTGGTCTTCTAGATAACTACTATTTTTTTTTGTCTCTCCTCAGTAGTTTGCACAAAGCTGGTAGTGTTTTTCTGGCTTTTCAGAAGCCAGTACAAACAGAACTCATCATTTTAGCAACACTGTATTTATCGTGTATGTGAATACTTAATTTGCACGTTTACTAGGCACCAGGTGGGTGTGTGTATATGTTTGTTTAAGCTCCAGACTATCAACAGGTACTAGGACTCCAGTCCAATGCAATTAGAGTGATTATGGCTTGTCCTAGTACTTAGCTTTAGACTTGTCCTCTGCATTAAATTGATGGTAAGTTTTCAGACTTGGAGGAAAAGTCGTAGTTGTGCCACACAGTGCTTTTAAGAAGACTGAGTCTCCTGTCCTTAAATTTTGCTTAATTAGACTGGAATAGCATGTTGAGTGCTAGCTTCCTTTGATGGAGTTTCACTCATCTGATTTGAATTTGTTCATGCTGCGGCTGAGAGAACTCTGCCCCTCACTGTTCTGTTAATGTCCGTTTTCAGTCACACAGGATATGAAGATTTGCAAGTGTTACTTTAGGTAACCATAATTACCAGTATCATCTGCTCTTTGGAGGATGTAACTCAGAGCTTCACGTTGCTTTTAATTACAATTTGGACATCAAGATAGTCAAAATATGCTTGGTACTGCTTATTTATAGACCTTGTGTTCTGATGCTCTTAAAGTTTGTGTGTTTCTTTTTTTTTTCAATGTGACCCGAGTTTCTAAAAATACACGCTATTTTAAGAGTATTCAAATACTTGCTATTCAATAAGACCAAGTGTCACTATTGTTTTATTTGTATCTACGTGTGATTTTCTTGAATGTATTAAAATCACCTGCCAGGAAGCTAAGTGTGTAGGTAGATGGCTAGTTTTGTTCTGTTTATTCCCTCTGCCTACCCAATGTTTTCTATGATCTTTGGTAGGAGTCTGTGGGTGCTCAGTGCTTCTGAAGACTGAGGTATGTTTAAGGCTTCTGGTTTTGATCTAAAAACCTGTTTTGTTTTGCAAAGCTATATTGGATATTTATAGCTAAAATTATTCTTTGGGTGTATGACCCTTCTGTGAATTTACACATATGTTCCCAGCATAGATTGTTATCTTTACTGAAGCTGTCTTCTAGGGCCTCAGTGGCTCACCTGATGAGCAGGATGGGACGGAACTCGGGATACGTCGTTCTGCTGTGGTAACTACAGCTAGGACTTGCCCATCGGAAGTGCTTACCTTATTAAACCATTAGAAGTGAAGAGCAGCTAGAGAGAGGTGTCATCACCCTCCGAACTTTCAGTTTCCAGAGGAGGTTTAGCAAATGCTCTATTGACTACTATTTGATCTATTAGAAAAATTGGTTTCTGGTGTATGGAACACAACATGTATTCCATTTTGTATCTTCATGTGGTGTTTGTAGATTACATTGTGTTGCCTACACTAGGAGACCCCTGGAAGAAAGGGAACGCGTTTCAACTTGAAATACTCAATACTTCTGACGTCTCTATTCCTGTTGATAACAGTAGCTTCTCCAGAGAGACGATAGAGCTTAGTTTTACATCATGTCTCACTTCAATAAAATACAAATGTGTTTAGACTAACATCTCTTGTTGGTCTGCCCACTCCCAGTGATATCAGTGGGATGTACAAATTCTTTGTACTTATTACAAACCTCAAAACAAAAGCTAGCTGCTTGACTGCTAGTGTGAGCTGTATCTTTTGGAAGTGGCTTTCCCATATAAACTGCAGTGAGTCTTAAAAGTAACTTCTTCATAGTATTATGGATATTTAAGCAGTTAATGCAAAGTTTCTTCTGTTTCTTCTAAAACAAGGTAGCTGGGACATGTATGCCTTATGCATCTATGAAGTGGCAAACTTAAAGATTTTACTTTATTTCAGTTTCACAGAAAGAACTGTGCATCTTTATTTTGAGCCTTCATGCAAAAATTAAATTTAAGGTTGAGTTCCACAGTAGCACAAGTCTGAACGAGATCAGTAGCAATGCAGGACTTTGAACTTTTGTTCCATTAAATGTGAGTTTGCCTTTTTTTTTCATCTGCTACAGATGAGGTATGCTGCCTTGTGCCATGCACCGTGCTACTTGTGTACTGACTGCAGGTTTATCATGTCACTTGTTCACATGCATTTCCTTGTAGGGGAGTGCCTGGTAACAGCCAATTTCTTACTGTATGTGCTATTATTTACATCTGGGAGTAAGGTTTAAGTGTTAGCTGTACTTAAAAATGCACCATAGCACACAGGTATGTTCAAGACAAAATTTGCACATGAAAAACGTACAGTATTTCTGATGTTGATATTTTGCAAGCAGACTTTTACTTGCTGTGTTTGTATTTTATGTGAGGGAGGAAGAAAAATAACCTTGAAATACAAGCAATATTACATGTTTGGGAGGTGCAGGGGTTCAGGAGATCAGTTGTGTGTAGCAGAATATTAACCAGGGTTGGGCTGTGCATTTTGACTGGCTTTTAACTTACAGGTGTTTCTTCTTAAAAGTAGTGCTAAAGAACCAGTGGGAAGTGCAGGCGTATGAATCTGCCAGTCAAGCAGTAGCAGAGGTTAAACTGTGACAACATTGTAAGATTTTTGGCTGCAGCTACTGTAAAATTTCTTGTCCCTTCAGAGTTCTAGATAACTTCAATTTTCCGTTGCCATCAAGATTTTCCTGGGAGGAGCTTGCCACTTTACAGGCCGTTTTCGTGTTGGTTTGTTAGAGCCTTAAAGGTTTAACCTCATAACCTTGGTAAGCAATCCTCTCTTTCTGTGAAAGTGAGGGTAAACTCTGACTTGGAGGATTGTGACTAAGTGATTTTGTTTGTGGTGTGGGGTTTAACTTCTGTTGTAAATGCTTAGGCAAGAAGATTTATCCATCTGGAAAACTTTAGTTTTAGTATTTCAAATATGGTACAGAGGAGCTGCCTAGGAAGGAACGCTTACAACGAAGTTCTTCTGTGATAACTTGGTCAGGACATTTATCTGGTAAAACTGTTGTATTTGTTATGTGCTATATCCATAAATCTTAAGGAGGCAGTATATTAGACACTTAAAATCCTTAGTCTAGGAAATACATTACATACTTTAACATTGTTTTTATTTACTTTTTTGACCAGGTGTTCTGATGGTTAGCAGTAGTACCTGTAAGATGTGTTAAGTCATGCTAAGAAGATTGTTCATTGTAATAGAAAGAGTATGTTTTTCCTGAGTAAAATGTATGTTTTTACTGAGGAAATATGCAGCTACTCATGAAAAGAATGGGTATAGAGAGGGAGAAGAGTGCAACTGTGAAAATTACCTATTTCAGCATAGCAGTGGGAAATGTAAGGTTTTACATTTTAATATTCTAGTACAAGCAGCTCTTAAGGTAACCCATTGCTTACTTTTCTGATGTTTTTAGTAATTTTGCTGATTGCCTTTAAAATACAAGAGCCTCTAGTTTTACCTAACCCATCTTGTTGATGTTTTGACTGGTGTGGTGCAGACATTCTCGAGCAGCTTCAGTGCTTTATTGCCTTGAGTGAAGCGTGCTTCCCTATAGGTAAACACAATTTGGAAAGCTTTGGGACTATGTTTGCTGCTTTATCAGTCCTTGTTTACATCACACTGTGTAGTTTCATAGTTTTGAGGACTTGAGGGTTGTTTGATGGTTTCTTGACTAGTTTAAGCCAGCTAAAAAAAGCAACAATTAAGAATAGTCTTGCTTTGTAAGTGTGGTTGGAGGAAGCAGGAATTATCAACATGTTGCAACATGCTAGTCCACTGTGGTTGCACACTGAGAATAAACAGGACTGTTCTTTTTGAAGTCAGGGAAGAATTGATCTGCTATTTCTACATAAAGTTTAAATAAATGATCATCTACCGTATTTCTTATTTTGAAGGTAAAGGATGCCCTCATGTGGTGGAAGTTTAAAATTGAAATTCTGCTATTCAGATTTTAAAGATAGAGAATTGTAAGCTTTAAGTAATTATTTAAGAGATTTCTTGAGTGAATATTCCAGAAAAATCTCATATTGTAAAAATCACAGCCTCACCCCGAAATGTCTGAGTGCACACAACTGGGCACAAGAAAGATGGGTGTGTGGTTTGGTTTGGTTTTTCCCAGATAATTCCAAAGGATTAGGGCTGTGACTTCATTTGATACGGTCTCTGATGTTGCTGCTGTTGTGTCTCACGTAGGTGATGTGCAGTTCATAGACTATGAGTACTCTGGATACAACTACCTGGCTTATGACATTGGAAATCACTTCAATGAATTTGCAGGTAAAAATTGGGATTTCTGAGGCAAAGGTAAACTGGTTTTATAAAAAACCCTTGTTCTTGCATATACTCTTTTTCTCTGTCTGTATATCGAGATACGTGTGTATAGCTATTCATCTGAGGGTATCAAAGTGTGTTTACATCTCATCTCCCAGGCTGGTTATGCCCTTCTTTTGCAGCTCTGCTAACTCAGGAACAGGAACATTGTGTCCTAAGTTTTGGTACAGTTAGATAAACACAGAACTCACAACTTTCATGGTATCCTTCTTTGAAATGACACAGCAGAAACAACCCACTGTGGTGAAATACTGTGGATGTGTATTTTACAGCATAGGTGTACACTGTGAATACACTGTGGCTCTGCAGTTCCAAATGGCAGGCTTAGGCGTGTTCTTTTGGTGGCTTTCAATTTTGTGTGCTACATACTTGCCCTTGAGTCGTGTCCTAAAGTGAGAAGTAAAGGCTAAGGCTGTGTGGTAGGAAAAAGGTGGGATTTTTGGAATAAGGTATTAGAGCATTCATTAACTAGTTCAGATTTTTTTCAGTGAATGCCTGTTCTGTTTACTTCACAAGAGCAATAACTGTCTTGCTGTGTGATTTCAGAAAATGGGAGAACAGGAAGAAAACTACGTAATGATTAGTACAGAGGGAAGGGAAAGTGCAGCGTTGGTAAAATTAGGAGCCTTAATCTACCAGTCATTGCACAAACTGAATGTTAAATCTAGAAAACTTAAAAAAAATTCTGAGCGTATACTTGGTAGTTTAAGTTTTATACTTGGTTAATATAAATATTTGGAAAACAATTTAAATTCTTTACAAAGTATATTTGAGAGCTTTCAGTTTTTCGTCTGGGACTTCTCAGTCTGACTACATCTTCAGGGAGCTAAGTACAGTAAGAAGACTAAATGCAAAAATACCTTTTGGTTTTTTTTTGGCCTGTGAAGAGCAGTTGTGCTTCACCTCTGCTGTTCTCTGTTCATCCAGTAAAAATTTTTTTTTGTTTGTTTTAAAAAAAGTTAAATTTGAGTTTATCTGATACAGGAAAGAGTTTAGGTATTAGGAGGTTGCACTCTTCGTAAAAGAAGACATAAGGAATTCCCAAATCCTCTGGGAGTGATAGCTAGTGAACTGTGATCCAGGTTTTGGGTCTCTTGGCAGACTCCATATGGCCTGTTATTAAGCATCTCCAGTATAGGAAGAAAAATAGGACAAAAAGAGTAGTTATTCAGATGAGACTTCTAATTCTACCAGTACTCTGGAGAGGAAAGAGTTAGACTTCTAATAAGTTTTTCTCAAATATGAGCTTAGTTGATGACAATGTATAAGCATCTGGATTCAGAATTGGATGTTGTTGCATAAAAGTCCTTTTTCCTATGAAATGTGTAATACTCAATATGTTGTGGGAGTTTCATAGTGCAAGTACTTTTCTTGAGGCTTCTCTCAAAGCCCAACTTGTTGAATCTCAAAATACAAGTAGAATACGTATGTGGCTGGAAACATACAGCTATATGTATTCTGCTGTGTTGAATGCTCTGATTTGTGTGTAAGAAATTCTTTCCAACATGTGGTTGATAAAGTCAGGTTAAAGTAAAAATAATGGATATTTGTCCGCAACAATTTGTGTTTGTGTGTTTGGGGGCTAGAGAGGGGGGACGTAGTCCAGTAATGTGATTCTAATGGTCTTTTTAGATAGTGTAAGTTTCTAGTAGGTATTTTTCTTTTTCTAGGAGTAAATGAGGTAGACTACAGCCTTTATCCTAACAGAAAATTACAGGAACAATGGCTGAGATCTTACCTTGAGGCCTACAAAGAATATAAAGGATTTGGCACAGAAGTCAGTGAAAAAGAAGTTGAAGTTCTGTATGTCCAAGTGAATCAATTTGCACTGGTAAGTAACACACTTGATTAGAATGTATTAAATGCTCTAGAGAAGCCCACCACTTTATGGACAAATGTAATTGCTGGTTTCTTACTCTGAAACCTTCTGCTATGTTGTGCATTAAAAATTCTCTGTAGAATATTCCTAGGGAATGAGGCAGTGAGTGTTCAGAAAACAAGGAAATGAGCTTTAGTATTTCTGTTGGCTGTTTATTGGTCTGACAAGTTCCTGACTTGGCTGGAGCTTATGGTGGGTCCGTGTTGAACTTTTTCTTATAATGGTAAGAAGACAGAAGAGCAAGGTAGTGCTTCATAAAGACCTATAAATCTTCTGACTTTAAAAGCCTTTTTAAAATGATACAGTTTTCTTAGCATAAGACTAGGATGCTTGGATTTTTAATTTTTTTTTTTAAAAAAATAATTGGGTCACTCGAGTCTTTTAGTACTACCTTAACTCTTTCTCTGCCTGCAGTGACTTGGCAAGCAGGGAGTTGTTTTCAGATTCAATTTTGGTCACCGTAGTGGTTTAAGTTTTAGTCAAGTGCACTCCTGTGGCTCCCAGAAGTTCTGCATTTCTGTAGAGTGTCAGGGCTGGCTGTGTGAGTCTGCTCCCTGCTCCTCTTGTCTTGTGTGTTATAAACTGTCTCCTGTCTGTTAGTCTGTCTTTCGCAGACTTTGGATGTAAAAGCTTCCCTCCCTTGTTCTTTACCTTCAAAAGGATGGAGAATATTCAGTTTTGATCTGGCTTTGGTGCCTTGTCCTTCAGGGGAAAAAAACGTATCGTGTATAATTCATGGAGGTAGAATAAGAAGTCAGAATAGGTGTGGCATTGAGTCTTTGAATGTCCCAAATACGTGTACTGTTAGAAGCAGTTTGAAAACATCTTTCTTTTTTTCCAAGCTTTATCTCTGTGATTTTTGAAGGTTCACGTTACGTTACAGGTTCACGTTACTTTTGTCACATTTTCTGACTAGACCTGATCTTGCTTTGCCTAGAGGATGTGACAGGAAAAGTTACAGCAAAAGTGCCTTTTACCAGATAGCTACATAACTTTATCTTGCTTTCTCCTGAAGAATAACATGCCAAACTCTTCATAGGAGGACTAAGGCTAAAAAAACAGTTGTCTTTCTGACTAGTTCAAGCGCACCTCTGTTACTGTGATACCTCCAGTTTTGTGGCAAAAGCTAATGGTTGCAGTGAGGAAATACAGTTCACATTCTAGAAAGATGATTATTAAACAAGCCCTTAAAAAGGACCAGCTTGTTTGTTGTTATTCTTCTAAAATCTCTGTCAACTGTTACTGTAGAATTCATCTGTCCTATTAATTTAGGAAAGTTAGATCTTCAATGAAGTAGACTGGTGGTCTGTTTTAATATATACAGCATTGTTTTGTCAGTTTTAAACTATGGTCATACTAATGTTTAAGAGGATAGAGTTCTGTTTAGGGAACAGCTTGAGACCTGCCTGTAGACCACACATGATGCACAAATATTGCCAAACACTCTTGTGTCAGTTAAAAGCTTTGTTAAGAGAAAAAATGAACTAAAGTTAAAGGATGCTGGTGTAAAATGGCAAACTGCTTGCTCTCAGGCAGAGTTATCTAAAGTAGAGGTACAAGAAAGATTCACATGTACATCCAGTAGTTGCCATATTAATGTGTTTTCAGGTATGTGTGCATGCACACTTGTGGTAAAGTGTAGAAGTGTAACTGCTGTTACATGCAAGCTTCAGGGAGCAATTTAGGTAATTACTGTAAGCAGTTATTTACTGAGCAGAAGTCTGAAGCGTGTCACTTGTAACCTCAGTGGTCCAGAAATGTCTTCCACAAGGACACTCTCGAGCTCATGACCATTACATGTGTGTGTTTATTTGAAGCATGCTAGCAATCATGTCATTAATGTAATGCATAGTTCCAACCTGAAACTGAACATAGGCCTCCACACTGCTTATCTGGACTCATAATGGAAGTGAGTTTGGAATAGATGAGAAATTTGTGTAAATGTTGATGAGTTAGAGGTTCCCTTACGAGCTACAGATCATATCTCTTGGTCCAAGTCTGTAGTGAAAGTGAGTCGTAGTTGTAAGGATCTAAGGGTTGTAATCAGAGATCCAAAAGGAATTTCATATTTGCACTAGAGTTGAATATATGTAGAATAATATATATTTAATTCGCAGCAGTAGAAATGAGGTAGTCATATTTCCGTGTGTTTTTAAATACGGTGTATATGGCTGTACAACAGTCTAACAGATGCCCTATTTCATGAATAACACTATTTTTACTGAAAACGACACGTGGAGAGTCAAGAGGCCAATGGATTTTACTTCTCTGGTTGCCTGTAATTAATTCTATACTACTTGTTTACTAATCTCCTTGGTAAAGAGACATCAAATAACTTTAAAAAAGGTTGCGTTTTGAGAGTTCTCTTGTAGATAACTTTTTGTCTCAATGTGGGAATATGTTTACATGTTGGATTTTGTATAATGTTATTTCTTTCCCTAATGATTTTTTTCTTTCAGGCTTCCCACTTCTTTTGGGGGTTGTGGGCTCTAATCCAAGCCAAATATTCCACCATTGACTTTGATTTTCTGGGGTAAGTGTGCTTGCTACATAGAGTCGTAGAATGCTTGAGGCTGGAAGGGACCTGTGGGGCCGTCTAGTCCACCACCTCAGCTGTCAGAAACTGAGGTCTGAGCAACAGACCTGATCTGTGTGATCATGCTATAACTCAGAATTTTTAAGAGAAAACAAGACAGTAAAAGCCGTCTGTCTGAGCTTTTTGTTGTTGAAAGTTCTCTAAATCTGTGTGCCCCTGGACTAAAATGTGGTACAACAAGGCAAGGAGCGTAACTAGAGGAGTAGATGTTTTTGAGCATCGAGTGTTTTTCATTGGAGAGACAAAAGCATAAAAGCCAAGTTGGTCAGTATTGTGTACTATCTGTCAGCTGCAAGACCTACACTTCCAACTGCAAGGGTCAAGAAACAGGGCTCTTCTATGAGACCTTGTTTACTTCTTGTTGCATAGTGTTGATACTGGAAATTCCTAATTTTTTTTTTTAAAGAGTCTTTGTAATGCCAATGAATATTAAGTTTTGTCTCCTGAGATGCTGGCCAGTGGTGTTGTTTCAGGTAGATGTGCATCTTTGGCATTTTTTTTAAATGGTCTTTTGTGGCAACAAGCAGAGGAATTCATCTCTCCACTGGGGACTGGGCGAGGTGATAAAATTAATTGTTTCACTTGGTAAAAGATCTCACTTCAGAACTTTTTGCACTGACTAAGCCAGTTTACTTGGCTTAGTTGTGTCAATTCACATTTGTCTCACAATACTCTTCTTGTGACCAGTTGTTCTCAAGTAGAAGTAATTGTTAGTAACCACTAGATGGCACAAAAAACCAAGCTAAAGCACAGGTGGTGGAACCCCAAAACTTGTCAGTTTTGAATAAAACGTTCTTGCAATAATCAAGATCAGATTTGTCTGGAACTGTAGTTGTTGGACAATGTATTAAGAACTGTTAAACGCAGAACCACCACCATTGATAATCCTGGAACAGTATCTGTTTTGCAAACTGTAGCAAGCTGGGAGTGGGGGATGGTGGTGAGAAAGTACCATAATATTGTTGCTCTGTTCTTAATTTCTTCCTCTGGCAGCTGCTAAGGGTTGATGTTGGAAACAGGGTACTGGGGTAGGTGGACTTTTGACTGGTCCTGCCTAGAATGACTGTTCTCATGTAAGGAGTTACCTGCTCTTAACTTCAAATCTCTCTCCCCCTTTGAATAGGTATGCAATTGTTCGCTTTAACCAGTATTTCAAAATGAAGCTGGAGGTCATGACATTAACTCTTCCTGAGTAATGAAGAGGAAGAAACTTATGAAGTGGATAGACAACCCCTGAATCTTTTCTGAGAACAGATACTGGAAAAAAGCTAAACATTTGTTGAAGTTCTGTAATGCTCACTTGGTGGTTCTTGCTTTATAAATAATGCCTCTAAACAGTCCTTCAATGTTAAATTTAATATGAAGAGCATACGTACTGCTGTTGATATAAAACGGATTAGAAACTTGCTAAATCTATAAAAAGTTGTAGAAATGGCAATTTAATCCTTTGTAATTTAACATATGTTGTATGTGAATTATTTATTATAAGTTTAACATGATTCCATTGCTGCTTTCATCAGTTTTTGTGAGAGTTGGGTGCAGACAGTGAAGTTGTTCCAAAGGATTTGTTTAACAACTTATTTTATTGAAGTTGCATTAACTTATATTAAAGAAAACATAGTCAGAGAATATTAACCTTTTAGATGTATACAAGCAAAATGAGCAATGATAGATTCATGAGATCACCAATGTGCTGTAACTAGGGAAAAAAGGTTAGGATGATCTTTAATTTTTTCCCTCTTTTTTTTTTTAAAAAAAAGAAAAAGCTTTCCACATGATGGTACTTTTCTTTGGTATAAGAATCAACCAGCTTGCTGAAATAAGTAACATTTTGATTTGTCCTTCTTGATGCGTTAAACTGTAGAAATGTGAAGGTTCTGTGGGCATCAGATTCTTGGAGGATACGTACCATCTCCAACTTCTGTGGCAAAGCTGCTCGTTATTAAGTGTACTTCTAAAGCAAAAGACCACTATTCTAAATCCGTATTCCTTTTTGAAACTTGATTCTAAATTTGAGCACTATTCTGGTGCCTATATTTGATGTGCTTCAGCAGTATCTAGTGGAACGGACTGTTGAACTGAAGATGAGTGAACAGAGATCCTGTTGCACCGGGGAGCAAGACACTTAGGTTTACAGTTTGTGTATTGTTGACATCTTTCTGCTTTGTCATCTTCTGACCTTGGATTCTAGTCTTAAACGCGTGGTCCTGTAGTTGCAGATTCTGGTCTGTCTGTTTTTTTGGATTTGTGGTGGTTTTTGGTTTTGGTGTGCGTGTTTGGTTTGTTTTTTTTTTTTTCCTGTGTCAGCAAATTACTTTTTCAAAGTCTCCAGTTTGAAAGGTAATATGGAAAAGCGTATGACTTGAACAATGGAGCTTTGATCATCACACTCATTTTCTTATTTGTTAAAGCTAATATACCAAGAATGGTCTGGATTACAAAATGTGAATTGGAAAGAAAATGTTTACTTAACAAAACAATGTATAAGTTTGCGTGGAAAAGAGGCTTTAAATCTGAAAGGGGGTGGGGGTGGGGGGCAGAAGGGGAGGAGACCCACAATGGAGAGATCAAACCCAACAGTGCAGTGTGGAGTTGGGCAGGCATGTACTCAACTCTGATCATACTCTGAAAAACTGTGCACTTTGGTCACATAAGTGCCCACATGTACAAAGTCTGTGTGTGTGTGCGTATACACGTGCAAACACAAACTTACCTGAAGAGTAAATATTGTGGGGAGTCTGTTGTACGGACTCCAGCAAAGATATTTATTCAGAATTGCTTTATAGCACACTGCTGCGTGTATATGTGTGTGTACACACACACGTCTACACACATGTGCTTTACAGAAGCTTGGATTGATTCAGGACAAAGAAAATTGATGTGAATGAAAAACTTTCACCTTGAAAGACCATTTTGAATGGTGTTCTGTTGTTTTACAAAAGCAAGGTTTGGGATTTTTTTCTTCCTAATTTGTTTATATTCATCTCTGAATGTTTCCAGGTTTTTTCTTTATTTAAGTCAAAACCTTAAAAATCCTAATACGAATGGGAGACCTGGGATTTTTTTGTAACTTGAAATTAGGTAACCGTTTTCTTTAGCATTTGTTAGCTGGAGACTACTATACTGGACAAATTTTCTTGGTAGTTAAATAGAAACAGATAGCTAAAATAGACACTTATGTTTTCTTTTGTAGCAGTTACCAAGGATGTTGCTAGAGCTCATGAAAGCACTGAAGACTTTAATTTTCTGTACTTTCTCCCTGTTGATATTATTGACATATGTTCAATAATACCCTGCTGTCTTGGTAGTCCCTTTAAGTTCAGCCAGATCTGCTTGGAAGTAAGATTGATAAGATTCTTGAACTCTGTTACTGTTTTCTTGATGCAGTGGCTTTATTTCTTTGTGTTTGTGAAATATTTGAAAAAGACTGTGAAGTTCACTTGGTCTTGGGAAATCCAACACTTGACAGACCCTGACTTTCCCAACAGTTGGCAAAACACATTTCCTTTTCAGGTACCAGTACTATTCAAGTTTGGAGTTAGTGTATTTTTTTTTTCTTCCAGTAGTATTTTTGTTTGTTTAGCTCAAGTAGCAATAACTGTAGGTGTGGAAGCTTGCTTCTGCAGAACCAAAGCTCTTCATGAGTGCAGCTCAATCTCATACTTGTGGAGTGAAGTTCCACTGAATCCCGTAAAAGCACTTTGAAGCAGATAGTAAATACTGCAAGCTTTTCCTGAGCCACTTCGAAGAAGCACAAGGATTATCACAGGTTACAGTGGTTGACTTTGCAGTACTGGTAGAGGCTTTCATTTTGCATGTTGAAATTCATTTTACACACTTAAATGCTGCTTTGCATCAGCTTTCTTTCAAGACAAGTGCAGATTAAAACAATTGCTGGTAAGTTCGGAGGAAATACGGTAAAACATTTTCCAAAATGAAATTGCCAGTTACCTTGAGCCTTGTTCCACGTCCGTTTGAGCCAGTAGCACTCAGATATTCTCACTTGCGAAGGGATATCTACAGATGAGTTAAGTTTGAAGAAGTAGTTTGCAATAGCATTGCAGGTTATAAAGTAGCTTGAAACTGTGAATACAGGACGTTCTGAATGTAAGTTAGGTACTAGAGCATCCAGCTAGAGAACACGTACTTGTTTCAATTAATTTATCTCAGTCTCTTCAATAGCGACATTAGGATGTTTGGAGGAGGACAAAAAAAAAAATGACTGAGCTCTAGAAACATCCTGTAGTAGTTTTGACTGTGACTTGCCAAGAAGATACTCTGTTGCCTTTATGTTAAGCTAAGGGCACGAATGCCAAAATTAATAATTCTTGCTGTAGTTAAACCTATATTGTAAATATGAAGAGGATTATTAGTAATGGCGTTCTTGCATGAATAGCATCAAGTCAATAGACCATAGTGGCCTGGTTGCTTTTGTAAAGCAGAATAGTGTGAATTTTTTTCTTCTCATTTGTGCAGTCAGATCTGGCTAATCCATGCCTAATTTCTTTGGTCACCTAAGCATTAAAGATTTCGGAATGATACCTAGTCTTGTCACATCACTTTAAATTCCTTCATTTACACTTCTTGATTTGCATTTTTTAAAAAAAACTTACCAAATTTGCATTAACCAGGTCTGACTGTGTATGTATATACAACAGTGTAAATAACCATTTGTAAATTAGTGTGAATTGTACTGTATCTTGCATTTATGGACTTGTGTATTGCATTGTATTCTCTCCTATTTTGTAGAAACTTTGATGTAAAGAAGAAATCTTAACTCTGTGTGTGGACTTCTTTTGTTAAATTGGCCTGTAACAAAGCATAATAGTTTTATGTTAAGGTATATCCATTTGTAGCCTTGAGCATCCAGTGTCTTTTTTTTCCCATTAGCTTTTTTGACATCTTGCTCTTGGGAATGATTCTGGGAATAAAGGAATTTACACAGTGCTAAGATGAAGAGAAAGTCGATTCTACTAATAGGGCAAACTGTGTCAGAGGTACGTATAGTACCTGTGGTATAGGGAAAGCTGTTCAAATTGTTTACTTAAACTTCCAAAAGTTTCCTATACGTTCCTGAATGCTGGTGACTTCTTAACATGAGCATGTTGAAGTGTGCGTTCCCATGGTGACAGCAATTGAGTTAGATGTGATAGAAGTCTCCCAACTTAAATGTTTTTTGGTGGATATAGCCTTACGATAGGATTAGTTGCTAACTTGTAAATGCTTATAATAAATGCCCAAATCACCAAAATAGTTCTACCAGTTGTTTTCCTCACACTGTAACTATTGGTAGCCACTTTTGAAACTTACCTGAGGTATTTTCCCTGTGTGCCATTCGCTCCCCCTCCTCCCTGTGCCCACAACCCTACTTCATTAGGGGAAACATGAATATAAAGGCTTCCTAGCCATGTTTGATCATCTTTTCCTTTTTGACTAAAATTGTGTTCTGTTTTGTCAGTATGTGACTTCTCATCAGAATTTTTTCGAGTAGGAAGTCCCTTCCTGAAGAGACCTTTAATCTTGGAAGCATAGACATAACGAAGCATAGTTTTTCCCAAATGCTTGGCTGTAGTTGTTTACTGTTGCCTTTCACTGTCTGTTTTGAACTCCATGGTGTCCTTCAAGCTGGTAGCTTATTCTTGTCACTACTGTGTTTAATAACTCTGCTGGAAAACACTGGAGAGCAAATCTCATTGTCCATCTGACAAATGAATCTTGATACAGTTTGTACATCCTGTCAGCTTTACCTGCGCTGGATGAAAGGAACACATGCTTATCGATGGTGACACTTTTACTGGGGTCCTGGGAAGTGAGTTTACCAAAGAAGTGTAATTCAAGAGGAGGGATGGGCTCAGTAAATACAAGTAAAAGGGAATCAGTCACATGGAAACTCCAGCTTAAGCTTCTGAGGTAGCAAGGTATTGGATATGCTTATTTACTTGCGTGATTTAAGAACAAGAGCAAATTGTAAAGGGCAAGGTTTGTTTCAAAATGAAGTTCACGGTTTTTTAAAGCCTTTGGGAGCTAATAAAAGCTTACAAAATATTTTGTTGTTACTCCTACTGAAAGAAGTCTTAAACCAAATTTGGGTAACTTCCTGATTAAACCTAGTGGAATATAATCTTTCCTTGGTGTGGTCCTTCCTGTAGTTCACAGAGGAAGCTGACGAGGTGGCCATCTATTTGTGATTTGTTTTAATGTTTTTGTATTGTTTACTGTGTTGATGCCTTCTGAGATGTGCTAGGTTACTAAACTGCTGGAATTAGCTATTGTTTCCTGTCATCTCTTCCATACCAGGCAGGTTGTAGTTGTAGTAGTAGAACAGAAAACGTTTGATCAAACCCTCAAGGTAATGCCGGGCTGATGTTGAGCAGTCTTGCAGATGGTTCTTCCTCCCCACACCTTTTTATTACTGTGGGCTGCAAGCTGATTGTTTTTATTAGTTGTGAAAGATAGGAAAAGGCACGACCTTGGGTGTTGTGCAAGGTAGGTGTTCTGTTAGCCACCCACACAACTTTTAAGAAAGGGGCTCTCAGCAGTGGGAAACCACAGAAATCCTCATGGGATGTGTCAGAAGAAACTGAACATTGCAGTTTACAGGCTTCTGGAGTAGAAAGGAAAATGGGTGAAACGTTTGCATGTGACAATTGT